TGATTTTGACTCACGGTGACCCCTGTGTGTCAGAATAGAACCCCTTGGATTTCAGTGACGGATCTTTTGGGAATGAGCTCTGGTATTGTAGCAGGGGGGAGTTACACTGCCAACCCAGAAGAGTGCCTCTGGTGGTTTGAATCCGCTTCTTGGGAGAGAAAAGGTGCTCTCTTCCCATAAGGTGAAGAGCTGGGAGGGAAGGAAGTTCAGCTGTGATGCCAACTCAGTGGCAGTACATTTGAGTTGATCTTGTGAAAGCAAATTACCTCGTCCTTTATCTGAGACGCCTCTGAGTGGACTGGAACCTTCAAACTATGATCAGCATCCTTGAGTGAAAACTGTGCACACAGCCTCAAGTCTCCTTTTTTTTTTAAAACTTCTTTTTAATATTATTTACAAAATTCGAATACATTGTTTTTCACACTAGATCCTTCCCATTTTCCTCATCCCCCTCATCAAACTGTAGAACCCCATGATTAATCCCCCACCCCCCATACATCTTCACCTCTTCGCTTCCACCTTCTGCCCACCTTGGATCCTCATACTCATTCTATAAAAATGGTTTTGTACAGTATTTGTCCTTGTGGGACAGAGTTCACTCAGCATAATACTCTCCAGTCCCTCTCAAGTTAGGTAGTAGTTTTAAAAACTAATATACAGAAATGTTTTTTCAGCAAATGCTGGGAAGAACATCAAAGGTATCCCTCTAAACTGTAACACCAGCAACTATTTTTTGTATAAGTGGAAACCTAATTAACATAAAAATAAAATGTCTATTCACGCAGCCTTCAAGATAAACAGATGCATTTATACTTTTCTGTGAGCTTCTTTTTTAAAAACAAAGCAAAACTTATGTGCTACTTTTGGCTCTTAGCTCAGGGTTCAGTTAAAATGATGTGAGTTTCACAATAACATTGAACCTAACCCATGTGAAAATGCAAAGTCTGAAGGGCTTGCCTGAGTCAACAATTATCATTGTAGATTTACTTTAATTGTCTTTTTACCCCTTCCTATGAGGAGGAAACCTACATATGTGGGGGTAAATAAATGGCAGTGATTCAGAATTTGCTTAGTGAAATTGTGATCATATTCAAATCAGAGTTTTTAATACATTTGCCTCTCACCTGTTATGAAAGGAGAAATAATCAATCTTTACCTTGGAGAGCTGACAGATATATTATTGTTCGATTTTAGTTTGCTCCTTTAGTGAAAAGAGGTGCCGTCTTCTTTCTCTCCCAATATGGTCTTCACTTTCGTTTGTACTTCTAGCATAAAGTCATTCAAAGGAAAAAGACACACAAACTTTCCTAAGTTTCTTCTATAACTAACACAGAATCCTTTCTGCAGCACACATGTGGGTATAGGAAGAGTTATTTGGGTTAATATGACATTATTATTTCCCAGATGATCTATTTAATTTTACTTAGACTAGTACATCTGAAATGAGATATTGACAATATGGAGTGTATAGCATGATGAAATACAAGCCCAGTCAAATGTGTTTGGGCCAGCATCAGAATTCTTTGAAATAGGATATCTAAATAGTGTATAGGAGAGACATGGATTAGTTCTACTGTCCAGATGACTATTAATGGGTTTCGTGCTCTGAAGCATATGCTAATAGAAGTGATCATTTTGGATTAATTTGATGTGAATTAATAAGAGATTTATTTGATGGAGTTGTTTGAAGGTGATGACATTTAAATCTCAAACAGGATTTAAGATGCCCAAAAAAATACTTTTCATGACTCAGGGACAATCAATTCAGAGAGAGTAAATTAAATAGACAAAGATAGCAAAGAACAGGATCTGACATTGGGTTTATGAAGTTTGAAGCAGTTTACAAGAAAAGCAATCTACCATTGAAGTATTATCCTGGAATCTGAAGGAATAGAAAACATTTAAACTCCTTCGGTAATCTTGGGTTTGTGGATTGGATAAACAGTGTATCCTTGCATTTTATAGTTCACTTAAGCAATCTGATTTTGATCTGTATATATGGAGTAGACAGGATTCAAGTGATTTTTCCCCCCTCCCAATCCAATGAGCAAACACATATGTTCTTAAAAAATGGAACTTTATATGTTGTTCATATGGAAGCTATCTAGTTCGCTATAGGCCCAAGACTTGACCTTCCTTTTATTTTGCTATCACTTGCTTAATTCTTTAAATTCTTTATGGGAGACTGTTGATCAAAAGAAACAATTTGCTTTTTTCCCCTTTTACTTTCTTTATAAAAGCTACATGAAGTGTGTAATTAATAACTCAGTACTCCTGGACCAATGAAAGGAACAAGCATGGAAAAATATATTTCTTGAAAAGACCATCATGACTTTGTGTGTGTGTGTGTGTCTATGCTCGCTAAGCTTTGATTTCAAAGACTTGAAAGTTTTATTATCTGGAAAAACATTAAAAAAATGTCATCTGTGTTATATATTATGAAAATAAGAAGTGCTACTTACAATAACAATCATACTTAGCAGGATTTGGTACTGAGGTCAAATTGTAGTCCCTCCCCATTTTTTAGTCTTTCTCAGAATATATGTATATTCTTATATATAGATAACATAATGGTTACACACACATGAATGTTTAATATACGTACAAGTTTTGCTTTTCTTTGAGGAATTCTTTGTAACTTTGCTTTTTAAGAATAACTTTCTTCCTGCTTCAAATGAACAACTAGGAATAAAAATCATCTTGCTTTTTAGGGCATACAGTTGATGGGAAATACTCATTTAGCATATGAACGAATGAATGAAAGAGGTGTGTGAAAGCCAGAGTGACACTAAGGCGTCAGTGATTTAGGCCACCCTTGCTTGTTAATGATTTAATATTTTATAGTCTTTCAGCAAAATTGGATAAAAGTTTTCCAGAATAAAACTAAAGGGCCTGTGCTCTTAACCAGCATCATGATGGAGTCAGAGAGGCAGGAGAAGTTTAGAAATCATTTCTTCTAATGCTCATTTCAGAGAAGAGAAGGGACTGGTTATTGGTCATCTCGGCATGATGTAGGAATCAGACCAGAACCAGGACCCAAGATTTCCTCTTCAGATTTTTTTCTTCAGTACTTTTTTTCTTTGCTTGACTTGGAGTTGTGATGCAGAAGAAGCACAGAGCTTAGATCTCTTACTTTCAAAGAATTTCTCCTCTAGAAACATCCTCCTAGTTGTCTTCTGCATTAAGTGGATTTGAGCTGAGCTCTCTTCTTAAATAACCGGATAGTCAATGGTGGTGGCTTAATTAAATTATCTTATGGCAAGGTTGTTTGTAGGACAATATGTAAATGCAATGAATTAATGATTTTTTATACTTAAGAAATGAAAGGAAATAATTAAGTGCTTAATCCTTAATAGCTAGGTAGTATTGGGGGGGGAACACCCCAGTCTGATTCCTTTTGCTCTTGAAAGTGCCATTGTGGCAATATTAATCATTATCCTTTACAGAAAGTTTTTAAAAAGTTATTTATGCATTTTCATAAGTAAGATAACCGAGTTAGCAGAATTAGACTCTAAGATTATTTCCATTATATAAATTCTGAAAGTGATACTATGACACAGAAATATAGAATTATCCGCTCCTGTTACTTTCCATAGTCATAATTTTTTTAGAAGACAACAAAGAAGGCTTTTAGATATAACTGTAACTTAGAAGGAAACTTAATAAAAAATAAATATATATCATTTGTGCAAATAGAGTATCTTACATTCAAGAGATGAAAATGGATTCATATAGAACAATTTTGGGGAGACTGGTTAAACTCACTCAAATAACTCAGCACATACATATATTCACATTATTTTGCACAGTCTGTTTAAAGACTGTACCTGCGGGTTTATGTAGGTGGAAGAAGAGCAGTGGTGGCAGAATGGTTAGGCATTTGCATGTTACCTTAGAGGGCAGCAGTTCACATCTCTCTCTCAGTTGGTGCATCTTGGAAACATATGAAGTGGTTCCACTCCGTCTTATTGTGTTGCTGTGAGTTGCAATAGATTTGACAAAATGGATTACATTGACAGAAGATGATCCCAAATTGGAAATACTCACTATTGACCACTCAAGTAATTTTTTTAGAAAATCTTACATTTAGAGGAATGCACTCAGTCTTAAGTGCTCTTAAGTGTGTCATTTAGCCTGTGAGTGGCAAATGATTCATGCTGTCAGCTCCCAACCATAAGATGGACTGAGTCTCCCTGAAACTGCTTGGGAAGAGAGCTTGGTGATTGACTTCTGGTTGAGGGGGCTCAGCCATTGAAAACTGTCTGGAGCAGAGCTCTGCTGTGACACTGGGGCTCACGATGCCTGGGCAGTGTCTCCCAAGCAACTCCTGTTTGTTTGGCCTTCGTTTAAATTCTGTTGCTCATTCACTTTTAGCTCCATTATTTCAAACCATTGCCTGTAGCAGACCTTCTATCACTGGCATTTTAGAACCTTTTATTGTTTTTATTTGAATGCTGAATTTTAAAATAAACTTACCAAATCTAATGATTAAGGCTTGATAGATTTTAGATTTTCCTGTATAAAAGTCATTGCTGATGTTCATTCTTTGAGATCGTTTTGACCCGACCTTGGTGTATAGGTAAGTTTTACAGTTCTTGTTAGTATTAGTGTTGAAAGGCGTTGGAGGTGAATAATCTCACCAGCATCACAGGCTGTCGTCAAAATGATTTCCACCCTGGTAACCTTTTCTACATACTTCTCCTTCCTCATTCTCGGGTCAAGGGGAGAGAGGTTTGCCAAAGGCTCTGCTCATTCTTTTATCAGGTACCTGTGAGCAGCTCATGGTGTGCTGGCTTATTAATGTTTTTTTAAGGGTGATATTTGAAAATGTGTTTACATCATTTAGGAGGGATTTTTTTTTTTTTGTTTTGTTTTGCAGATGTACAGATCGGCTCTCCAAATGTCTTCTGTGTCTTCTGAGCATCTCCTAAGACAATTGCATTAGCTTCCTGCTAGTTGACTAATAGAATTAATAATTATAAAAAGCACTCTAAAGCCACATGCCCCATGAAGTCAATGCTGGGTATGACTTTACAAGTATGTGATCCATTTTTTTTCAAGTGAAAATGTTAACTGGAAAAGTTCTTGGCACACAGTGAAACACAGTGCAATCTGTTCTTTGTCTTGGAGATAATAACTTGAGGGTGGCTATAGTCTTATGGCATCTAACTTATGACTTGCTCGGGGAGTTCCTTCCACTGAGAAGTATTGCAAATGTGCTTATATTTACATAATATGTCACTCTGAAAAATTATAGTGATATAATTCTAGTAAAAAATTATTTTTTCTATAGCTACTTCAAAGTATAGTTGACTAAATGAACCACATATTTTTTTTTAAAAAGCATCTAAATTAAGACATGCCATGCCCCCCACAATAAAAAATAAAACGCAGATGACCTCTCTGATGCTTCTTTGAAGTTTTAGCAGCTTAACATTCTTTGCGATGTATATTATTAAGGGCACTATTCAACATAAGGAGTCAGTGAGTCATGCGTTCTGAAGGTTTGTTCTTGGGTGGAAGGAGGAACTGAAATTTGGGAAGATGATAATTTAATTATATCACATTTTCTCTCAGGCTTTAAAGATGCTGATTGAGTAGTTATTAAACTATGATCCATTACATCTTTTGAAGATAACAATAAGTCAGTAAAATGTAGTTTTGTTTTTCTTCTGGACATTAATTTATTGCTTTTAATGTATGTGTATACACACACACACACACACACACACACACACACACACACAAATTTTACAGTATTTAATCTTAGCTCTCTAACTTTTGACAATGTTGCTGTTTCACCCTGAGGATTAACTAATGTATGGTCATTGCCATTTTCTTTCATCTTGATAGATAAGTTTAGTTTTTTGTATTTGTTCCTCATTTATTCATTGGGGCCCACTGTTTCATATAGAATTTCTGTCTTTGTTGTGCCACTGTATTAATTTGGTTATTGTTTTTATTTACTAAGAAGAAAATGAGCACATAGAAGTGATAATAGTTGTTCAGCATTTGTGTAAGGAAAGATGACATTGTAATAGTTACCAAAGGGAGTAAGTGATAGGGAAAAAGGGAGATTCTGGAGAGGAAAGCATAGCTGCTGAACCAAAGTGTGACATATCTATATGAGTGAATATTTGTTAATATGCACAAAAAAGTAGAAAGTAAAATAGAAAGTCCTTTTCTGTAGGAGAAATTAAAATAGTGTTTTGGTTTTTTTTTTTAATGGAAACATGTTTAAAGCATAATTAGGTTCCCAGGATTCCTCTTTGAATTTTTACTCTTTTTTTCCCCCCTCCCTGTTTGCTGTCAATAAAATTCTCTCCATTCTTGCATACGTTATTACAATTTCCCAGGATGACTTTAGTCACATTTGAAGGAGGGATAGAAATCTAAAAAGTCAAAATAAAAAACTAAGACATTAAAGTGCAGGCATTAAATGAAAGAAATTCACTAGCCAGTTTTTATTTTTAAATGATAGTTACCTAGTTTAGTTTTAAAGTTTAATTCTTGTTACCTCATGCCCTGTACTTTTCATGAAGCTTCTACCCCATAAGTGTGTATTTTGTATTTTTACTGTTCCAATAGTGACATTTTATAGATACTTGATTAATAATGTTATCCATTTCTAAACAAGAAGAGTGCACTTTCTTAAAGGAAGTTCTCTTGTATTTTTGACATTATGTAATCAGTGAGAATTTTCACTGGGGAAACAGTCTCTACATTCTAGTGCATTTTCTTTGTGATTCATTTCAGTGATTCACGTCATAAAAATTTTGCTTGACTGGCTTTTTCAGAGGTAAAGGTACACCCATGGATCGAGAGTCGATGTGGTTCTTCAGCACTTGTGCGAAGTTACAGATGAAAACGACTGGAACGTGTTATTAGTTTGCATTTTCTCAGGACATTTTGGCTAATCATGGTGTAACTAGTTCAGTTAAATCTGTCCTGTGGCCAGAGTCGGCTAGTAAAGAAGATTTGTTTTATTAGTCAGTCACAAGAGGATGTGTCCAGAATACATTTGGGGCAGTGACTTACACAGTACAGGGCAGGAATGCTCTTGAATGATTACGGAACAAAAGCAATGGGCTCTGGTGCCAAGGCAACCTGGCTCATACATTCTCCTACTGACATGACACAAATTGTTTCTTATCTCTGTAGATCCTTAAGAGTTCTGACTAATTACACTGCATTAGAGAATTTTGTCACTAAGTTCTTATTCTGACCCTGGTCACCGCCTCTGAGAAAACTAACCTAAAAGCCATAATTGAGCTGGCATATAAAAATGAGCCATGGGTAATGGACAGTATCTTACCATGTTTGACATGAGTGAACTTCCAGTATTTTTTGATAATGTAACTTTTCATCAGGGTGTACCTTGAAATTCGAGACTTCCATCATTTCTCCATCACGTTGGATGATAGAATTGTAGTAAAACTTGAATTAGCCATAGCCAGTGAGATGTAAGTCCTCTTTCAATGTCAGTTAACCTTCAAAGGTGGCTTAAAGTCATTTCTAGGTAGGGCAAAGATGTAAATTTGTTGCCTTCCATTTCCTGAAAGAAATAGGATAGTTTTCACTCTGCCTAACCCCTACAGCTTTGGTCTATTGGCATTGACAATATTTGATAGAAGCTGTATTCTGTCCTGGTTTTACATTGTGACCACCTTGCTCTTGTTTGTGTGTGTGTATTTATATATATTTATACACACACACACATATATATATTTAGATTATGTGTATATAGATATACATAATAGGTAGCACATATAAATAGAACAGCATATGGAAATATATGTATGCCTATATTATATAATCTAGATATGAATGGTAGGTTTTATATATATTACTATAACTAGAGAAAGAAATTTGACAAAATTATAATATGACAAGAAATAGTAACTATAGTTTACGGAATATATAATGTCAAAATACTGAGTCCTTAAGAAATCTTAAAACCATTTAGTACAAAAGTGAACTACTCTTTTTACAAAAATAACACTAAGTATCAGTTGTTTGCTTTCGTGTGAATATGTTGCAGATTTTGAAATGGACCCTCTCCCCCCACCAGAGGGAGTATTGTATTAAACACTTTGAAAAAAACCCCCACAAATACCCATGTAAGAGAATAAAGAAAATATTCTAGATTGAATTATGTGTCTATAACTCTCAGATAACCCCTCATCTGTCTCTTCCTTGTATTTGTACAGATATGGTCCGGAAAAAGAACCCCCCTCTGAGAAACGTTGCTAGTGAAGGCGAGGGCCAGACCCTGGAGCCTATAGGTACTGAAAGCAAGGTATCTGGAAAGAACAAAGAATTTTCTGCAGATCAGATGTCAGAAAACACGGAGCAGAGGGATGCTGCAGAACTAAATAATAAGGAGGAAAAGAGCTTGCATGTCCAGGATCCATCTTCTAGCAGTAGGAAGAACTTAAAAAGCTCAGTCCTGAGTGAGAAGGCTGGCTTCAATTATGAGAGCCCCAGTAAAGGAGGAAACCTGCCCTCCTTTCCACATGATGAGGTGACAGACAGAAATATGTTGGCTTTCTCATCTCCAGCTGCTGGGGAAGTCTGTGAGCCCTTGAAGTCTCCTCAAAGAGCAGAGGCAGATGACCCTCAAGATATGGCCTGCACCCCATCAGGGGAATCACTGGAGACGAAGGAAGAGCATAAGATGTCACCAAAGGCTACAGAGGAAACCGGGCAATCGCAGAGTGGTCAGGCCAATTGTCAAGGCTCCAGCCCAGTTTCGGTGGCCTCAAAAAACCCACAAGTGCCTTCAGATGGGGGTGTAAGACTGAATAAATCCAAATCTGACTTACTGGTGAATGACAACCCAGACCCGGCACCTCTGTCTCCGGAGCTTCAGGACTTTAAATGCAATATCTGTGGCTATGGTTACTATGGCAACGATCCCACAGATCTGATTAAGCACTTCCGAAAGTATCACCTAGGACTGCATAACCGCACCAGGCAGGATGCTGAGCTGGACAGCAAAATCTTGGCCCTTCATAACATGGTGCAGTTCAGCCATTCCAAAGACTTCCAGAAGGTCAACCGCTCGGTGCTTTCTGGTGTGCTGCAAGACATCAACTCTTCCAGGCCTGTTTTATTAAATGGGACCTATGACGTGCAGGTTTGTACTTTATATTGTAATCTGTGTCTAAAACGAGAGAGAGAGAGAGAGCAAGAGAGAGAGAGAGAGAGAGAGAGAGAGACAGAGAGAGAATGAATATGTATGTGTGTGTGTTTGTGCCTGTTTAAAAACCAAGCTCCTGGGTCCAGAAGAGGCGCCTGCTTGGTCCAGTGGAAGAGACGAGTGCATTCTATATCTGTTTCATTCACAACTGCTTTTGGAGTTGCCTTTAACCTGTCAGCCTGGGAAACGATCCCAATATGTCGATTAGAAAAGGCTTTGCTAGAATTAGCTAGGCTTTGTATTTCTGCACACATTTCTTGGCAATTTGTTTGTTTTCACAGTCTTCTAACTATGGCACGGCTCTGTATGGCTCTCATGATAATAACGCAGGCTTTTAAAAATTTTCATATATAGGACTTTGGCTTCAGTGAGGTTCTTTGCTGTCTCTTGGGTTAGGATTTGATTTTACACTCGGCGGGACATCAAGTTGAACTGGATTTGAGTTACACTGACGGTTAAAATAAAGATACAATCCTGAAAACACAAACTAATCCCAAATGGAAATTTGAGACTAAAGTTACTTAATGATTGCAAGTGAGTTCGTGTGATCATAAGTACTAGAGACACGAGAGTGGCCTTGGAGTAGGCTGGGAAAGCATTCCTTCCAGCATTTCAGGAAAATGGCTAGAATTGATTAAAGCATTTAGTAATAATTCAGAGTTTTACTTTTATTAAAATGAGCATAACTTTTTGATCTACTTTTCTGTCTTTAGTTCACAGCATATGTGAACTAAAGTTAAAAAAAACACCCCCAAAACCACCAGCAAACTAAAGAAAAACCTGTTACTATTTCAGATAGCACAAAAAATAGGATGGGGTCTTAAAAAAACAAATTCATGTAATTGTAGTGTGATCAAGACACATGCTTATCTTGAGAAAAGTATTTGACTTTCGTGAGTGAGTAGACTTTTTTGGATATTATTAGACCAGGAGGATCTTAAAATATAGGAAGCTTGATAACTGAACCTTCTTTTTTTTTAATTTTTATTGTATTATTTTTACATGTACCATCAAATCAGATCTGACTGGAACAGCAGGAGATTGCCTCCTCCTTCTCCAGCAGAGCATCTGGTGGATTTGAACCGCGTACCTCTGGGATTGCAGTGCAGCATCTTGCCACTAGGCCACCAGATCTCCCTGAACCGTCTTTAGGAAAGATTAGAAAAAGTACCAAGAAGTAATGGAATTACCTTGCCCTTCTTTGGCCTACTAAGTCCCTTAAAATAGCGTTCCTTTTTATCAGCTCAACCGCTATAGCACCTTCACTGTAGACTTCTCCTGACATGGAGCCAATGACAGACAAAGGAGTTGTGAGTAATAGAAAGTGAGCATATTTTTGCACTACTTGTAGGAGAGATCAGAAGAGAGATTTCTGAGTCTTTAAGATGTCAGAAAGTCAGCCCTATCGCTTTGAGGGAGATAGAAAGAAGAACCCTTAAAAAGGCAACTTCATCTTCGTAAAGCTCTCTCCAAATTCCTTCTCACTTTGTGAATTTCCACAAATAGAATTATTTTTGTGGAGCGCCAACTTTAAGCCAACATAGTTATTATGCATGAAAGCTGCAAGCTTTGAACTGCTGTCTTATTAAAGATCATCTCACTGTCTAATGTCAGATACACTCTGCTGTCAAACTGTGATCGGAAAGCAAATAACGTGTTTTAGATAAAAGGGTTCAGAGTGAATAATGTCAGTGTGTGGAACGGTGTTTTATAATTAGCAAGTAATATGATGTTAATACCTGGATTTCCGGCAGCAGCTTCAGTTTGCTAGCTCTGGGGACAACATCTGAGGGAAGCTGAGCTAGCCTGTCAGAAAGACTCTCAACTGAAGATTATGGAGGCCTGCATTTTGGAAGAATTCCGATTTTTAAACACTCTTCCATTTCTCCCAAACTGTTATTTGCTAGGCTCTCTGTTATTTATAGTAAAGTTTATGTTTGGGTAGAATGAGCTGGACACTTTTTCTGGGCAGTGATTTGAGAAATAAAACAGATGTAGAAGCTATCTGAGTTTGAACTAATAGAAGGAGAAATAAAACAGCTGATCCTGGCCTGTGCTGTCTACCAGGTCTTCACAACCCCACACTGCAGAGAAGACAGAAAGTGGTAGGAACTGCGTGAGGGAAGAGAATCATGTTATGATCGATATTTATTTTTTTCTCCAAAGACAAATAACTTTGCTAAAAGTAGGAGGGGGAAGCAATTGTGGAAAAAGTAGGTGAGTATTTTCAAGAAGCGGTTGGTTAAGGAATGAGTCTTAGCAGAGCTCGTTTCAATTTATAGACGGCATTAAGTAGCCTTTTGGGCCAAATGCTAATGTTGAGCATTCTTTGAAAACATCAGATGTTGCTGCAGAAATCGTCTGAAGATAAGTGATGTTATTAATATCTTTCAGAGTCTAAAATAAATATAGAATAGCTTCCCTGTATGTGTAAACTGAATAAAAGGACTTCTGCAATCCCCTCCCTTCCTGCACGTTTGTGTGGCTGTAATGTGGTGGTGGAGTGCCTTTCCTTGGCACTTGAATTGCGGGGAGACTAAAAGCTGTGGGAGATAAGATGCTGACTGTAGGATTTCTTTAATGCAGTTTTGTCAGAAATTTATAGTGAGTTAATGGCTTGTGTGGAGTCTGATAAAAAGATGTTGGTAAATACAAGTTGTAATGGACAAATAATCAGTCATTGGCAGGGAGCATTTATATGCATCTGTAATTTCAACTAATTGGAGTAGTAGATGAGCAATTCATTCATCATCTTCAACTCAACTGGCTCCTCTTTGGGTTTTTTCCCCCATACAGACAGGACAGTTGGTAAATGATAGATTTATGATATTTTAGGCTGAGCACAAAGAACAGAAGCTGGAGCAGAGGATTTAAAGAACTCTTTGGCTTTGATCTAGGTTTTGGTTTAACATGGTTGATTTTAAATAATCAGAACGAACTTGACTGCAGATTTGAGATACATAGTTGGGGGAAAGAAATAATTTGAACCGATTCCAAGATTTTCAGTTATGAGTTCAAGAGTTCTTGTCAGTAATTTGACATGTATTTAGAGGAATAATGGATATTTAGATACACCTAGTGTTCAGTGCTGTGTCAGTAATATTTTAGTGACTTGAATCAAAGCTTTTTTGTTAGTGATAGTACCAAACTCTGTGTGTGTGTGTGTGTGTGCGTGTGTGCGTGCGCATGTGCATGCTACTTAGTAGAGTCCCCAACTGGACAAAAGAAGTACCTGCCATAAAATCAGAACTGGCTTTTCTAAGTCTGTTAGTTCATTCTCCCCAAACACCCTCACACACAGCCCTAAAACCAGAAAACAGGTCTCTTCTTTGCCCAAAAAAATGTAGTTAAGCCCAAAGTTGAGTGACTTGACCAGTATTTTAATTTAAAATTTTTGTTTTGTTTTGTTTTCCCTAAATACTTTATTAATGATTATTTTTTTTTTAAGGGTATGGCATGCCTGGTAATCCCTTCATGGGGTTTTTATTACCCGTCTTTGCCTTTGAGGGTCACATATAGACCAATAATAGGACAAGAGATTGAGGTTCTTAAAAAAGTAATTACAGCTTCTTTCTTTTTAATCTGCTTTATTATGCTTATATTTAAACCATCCCTGAATGGAGGCCTGCATTGTTGAATGTGAACTTCACTGTTTCATTGGGGCTTAATGTGCAGTGCATTAGGGCGTTGCGTCATCTTTATGGGGGAGCTCTGAGCCTTCAGATCAGGTTGTAAAAGTAGGAGTTCTGTCAGGTTGTGCTTCCCACGGGAAAGTGTTTAAGCCATCCTGTGTTTATAAATGCTCACAATGTATATATTACCCTTTCATATTAGTAACCCTTTCCTGTTACTCTGCATTATTCAGGACTCTTAAGAAGATAGCTATTAGATACCATCTATTAATTTCATTGGGTCCCTTTTATAAAATCTTGAGGTTAAGAGAAGACTCTCACCATTCACTTAACCACGAACTGGCCTGTGTTTAAGCCAGAACTCCATTTCTGTTTTGTAAATATTTTCATTCGAGTTGCCCAGTGTGTCATGTTGGAAGCAGGAAGAACAGATTTTGGAGATAGGAAGTCACGTTTTGTTTTTCTATTTCCAGTATTTTGAACTGTATCGACTTTACAGATACTTAACCTATACCAGTGCATTCATTTGAACAGGGGATTAGAGTTTGGTCTGAAAACAAAACAAAACCAAAAACCCTGGACACATTAATCTCATTGTGGTCTATTTTGACTTTTCTTGAATTTGACTTCCAAATATTTATTTAATTTGGGTTTGCTTTTTTTTCTCCTGGAGTCCTTTGATCTGGAATAGGAGGGAAGTTGTAGATCTTAGCAGGTTCTGTTTCTTTGTTTTTTCTGAGCTGAGGATGATTACACTTTAGAAAAGCTGGTGAATGAGACTTTAATCAATTCAGACTGTCTATATAGTAGAGAATGTTTGGCATATGAACCCATATATATATTCAGGACCGTGTCTCTTTAACAAGTAATAAAGTGTGCAAAATAAAACATATGCCTACCCTAGGGCCATAAAGCCAAGTGAAGTTCTGGCATTTGCAGGGCCATTTTTATCCGTAAAGATGGCTGGGCTGAGTAGTGTGGCCCCCATACTAGAATTGTTTGACCTTCTTTTTCAGTCTATCTTCATGACAGTTACACCACCTTTCAACTTTGTCACATGAGAGAAAGATAAATATCAAGCCCTCCTTAGCTTTGTTTGCTTGCTATTCTTTAAAGAACATATAGCTCATTTAAAACAAAGTATCTTTACAGATATTTAATCTGTTCTTTACAGATTGTTTAGAAGAAGAAAGCTTGGTGACCATGGTGTTCAGCCAAATTATATAACTTCTAATGAGTCATATAACTTTTCATAGGGAGCTCTGGTGACCTAGCGGTAAAGAATTGCGCACCACCAATGGCCCA